ATTAATAAATGCTGCATTGTTCTTTTTTTTTTTGTATTAATAAATACATTAACCAACATTTACTATGTGTCCAGTAATCTAAAGTGTTACCGAAACATGTTTTGGCATAAAGTCTTAGAGTTTAAAATTTACTTTAAACATACATACACTGTAAAATATTTGACCTTAAGTTTACAGTAAATTATTGGCTAATAATTGCATTACTTTCAAAGTAATGTACTGTATGTAAATTCACAGTTAATAACTGTGAGTTACTTCATAATAACAATAATCCTGTAAATATGTCTAAATATCAAAAAAGTTGTGGCGACCCCGGATTAATAAAGGGAGTAAGCCGACAAGAAAATGTATGAATGAATGATCCAAAAAGTTCCTGTATTAGCATAAAAGTAAATGTGTATTATTTTCTGTTAAATAATGTATATATATATATGTATATATGTATATGTTAAATAATGTTCCTATAGCTAACGTGCGAAAGATAAATTAATTTTACAATAATTTGCAATATGAATAAATCCTGTAATGTGACACTAATGTAATTTACTGTGAAAAATGACAGTAACATTCTGGAAATTTATTACAGTGTATATATTTACAATGGATATGCACAGCTAGAGTTTTAAAGCCAACTATACACTTCCGGTGAAAGCTTAACAAGCATTTCACAAGGTTGTTCTTACAGCAGCGACGCAGTGGTGCAGTAGGGAGTGCTGTCGCCTCACAGCAAGAAGGTTGCTGGTTCAAGAATTGGCTGGGTCAGTTAGCGTTTCTGTGTGGAGTTTGCATGTTCTCCCTGCGTTCACATGGGTTTCCCCCACAGTCCAAAGACATGTGGTACAGGTGAATTGGGTAGGCTAAATTGTCCATAGTGTATGAGTGTGTATGGACGTTTCCCAGAGATGGGTTGCGGTTGGAAGGGCATCCACTGCTTAAAACATGTGGTGGATAAGTTGGTAGTTCGTACCGCCGTGGTGACCCCAAATTAATAAGGAGACTAAGCCGAAAATGAAATAATGTTTTTTACACCATCAATGTTGTAAAGTAATTACAATACATTCAAATAAATAGACTTAAGCATTCATTTAGTTATGAAAGACCGTTGTAACCACTAGCATCGTCAGTAGAAACTCCATTGAAAATACTGGAGTAAAATAAACTGTCTTATTTTAAAGACATGGCGGGGGGAAATGGAATTTAATGCAGTGCTTCTTGTCCGCTCTGGGACCCACTTCATATTGTATATCTAACAGACAGTGAAGACCACTGATTTTTAGAGAAATCAGATTCTAAATGTGACAATTTTGTAATGGAAAGAAAATTCACCAGAAGCCCTTGGGCTGCCTGAAAATTAAAAATCTGTGTGCATATAGCCCATAAGTAGATATCTAATAATAAATGTATTGCTGCAAATATTATAATGATTCTTTTTGAATGATTTAATATCCTGACACAATTTAAGAAAAAAGAGCAGAATACTCAAACAAATGACTTTGCATCTTTTTGTGTAAGTTATTTATTTTTCATACACACATTTAATTACTTTAAGTGTGGTTTTAGCTGTTGTTTTTTGTTTGATGAAATGCTACATACTTTAAAGTGTTGATGAAAGTGAGCGGACAAGGGAGAGAAAGAAAACGATCACTCATGCTGTGACCACACAGTTAGCGTGTGATGCCTAGTTTGTTTCATGGCTAAATGTCAGCCCCTTTAATGCTACAAAAGACACACAAAGGAACTGTAATGGAGTATTATGGTCTCTCAATGAGAGGCTTTTATCGGTATAAGCGTAATTGACTCGCTCATAAATCATGCTTAAGTGTCTTTGCTGATGCACTTGTCTTTGAGCAGTTTATCCGCCTCCCGAAGATTTACTGTTTTAGAAATTGGTGGCGTCTGTGCTAGCATTTTCTGTTTTCTTTTCGTTTAATTGCTCACAGAGTTATCTAAAACTGAATGTGTCGAATCATAAAAGCTTTTTTGGAGGAACATGAATGTGAGTATGGATATATATGCACTTTGAAAGTAAATTGATGTTCTTATATTCATTTAACTGTTTAGTTGTATTGATTTATATCCTCGTCTAGGTTTTTAACAACTTTTTATATACATCGTATTTTTTATTATTAATCTGTATTTGTTCCAAACCATGCAATAATTTATTTAAGTTGCTCAAACTGGTTTATAAAGTTTAAACTATAATTGATCTACAGCAAGGCAATATCCCTGTATCACACCTCATGAAAAAAGTTTTATTTGTGTGTAGACTAATATTATTTCAGTAGTTTCGTTATTTAAGCAGTGCAGGTGTACATAGGGCACAGTGTTTGGTCATGGTTGTTTCTACATTACATATCGTTAGCTATATATATATATATATATATATATATATATATATATATATATATATATATATATATATATATAGGTTCTATCTGACATTTTTGTCAAAATTAAGTTATTCATATATTCTTATTAAATGACAAATTGTTTACATTTTGGGGTGTTTTTTTATATGTTGTTAAAATTTTAAGACTTTTTAAAAAAAAAAAAAATAAACGTTTCACATACTGTTTGCTATGGAATGCAAAAACTTTGAAGCTCAATATCTCAAAATCCTTCAAAACGCAGATAGAACCTTATAGTTCCAAGGTGACAATATCTGAATTTTTTTTTTTTTAATATTGAAAATATTACAAAGTGTTATTAATAATATTTTAATGATATCTAGTACAAAAACAATCAACAAATGTTTTTGGGTGCCTCTTTACCACATTTCCAGTTAATCTTAGCTATCCATATTAATATACTGTACATGAAAAGTAGTAATATTTAGTAGTAAATATTATTTAATAGAGCTCAGCGTAGGGTTGCACCAGCTGTTCGTAAGTTCTTTCCTAAACTGGAACGTAAAGTCCACACTTTGGGCTAAGTAACTACTAGCTAGTTTTTAACAAAATTCGTTCTCACTTCAGCTGCACCACATGTTCTTAAGGCAAACTGTAGTTAGTAGGTCGAAAGCTCTCTGTAAAGTCATGCGTAGTCGCATTAAATTGCGTAATATCCAATCAAAAGCATATACATCATTAAACTGCTTTAAAATTCTGCAACTAATGCATCTATATAACTGTCCTATGAATATTACATTTTAAAAAATCACATTTTTATAGTAAATTACAATCAGTCACTATAACAGTTGACGCACACACCTGCATCATGAACCATGAATGCACACGAAATACACAGAAAGTTCTCAAAACATTGAACTTGAATTTTTTATATCCTACACATGAAAGAGAAAAGAGCAATGGGAGAACTCAGTCATAAAGAAATTCTCATTTTAATTAATGGATACAATTAACACATAACACTCCTTGAAAATAATGAAACTCACAACCCTAAAAAAGGGAGATTTATAAGGAAAATAAGGCTGTGAGTAGAGGTAGATCATTCTTCATTAAGATCGCAAGCTCCTCTATATAAACTAATCTCACTGTCGTCTCTTTTCTATCGTTATACATGGGGGGGAGGGGCTGCTGTAAATATTTAGTTGGAACGTAGCGTTACGTTTAAACTAAGTTCAGTGGTGCACTAAAATATTTAGTAATTGTAACTTAGTGTCCCTTTAAGTCATGTTTTAACATACGCACTGCTGGTGCAATCAGCCCCAGGTGACTTGAATTAACAACAAACAAAGATGAATAATTACTGCGAGAACTAGGGCTGTACGATTTGAGGAAAATATCTAACTCCATTTTTTTTTTTTTTTAATAGAGATTTGATTTGTGATTTAATTTTGTAGTCAAGCTTCAGCTCAATATTCTGTATCGTAGCTTCTTACTGCTAAAATGCAGTGGGGTTTAGTTAATAAAAAGAACTGAATAGATATTAATTAACTCCAACTTCTATTCAAAATGGTTTATAAATATTCAAAAATGAAACACAAATTTTTAACAGCTGCAAACAACTCTGAAATGAAACTTTGCTTTTGCTAGCTACTAGAATGAGTGTCACTAGCAATACTTTTAGTTTATTTTTTTAGCAAGACACTCCTCATATAGCCACCTGTGGTGCTTTTTTAGGTGCTGGTAGTGGCAACAATTCTGCGACATCTCTTACAAATGATCTGTCTTTGATCGGTGTCTGTGATTTTGAAACCAAAATATTTCCATATTACCGAAGTGCTGTTTTTCTTTGATATGAATTTGTCTATTAATGCTTCTAAAGCGGCAGACGCAAACATCATGTCTGTTTGTTTGTTTTATTGTGGGCTTTCCGCATAGTTCGTTGGGCAGAACTATTCTGATTGGGCAGAACTAAACTGTGCTCACTCAATTGGATAGTACAACTGTCGCACACAGACGGCTGTCACACATTTGCTTTAGGTATATGTAATATAATACACATATATTTCACACTGCATGCCATAATTGCGATTCAATTTCGCACAGCCCTCATGAGAACTACTGTACTCATACTGTATAATCCTCATTTTTACTCATTGATAGTGAATGCATGGATTATACAGTATAATATGTAATAGATTACATATGGATCTTATTGCAAATTGTTGGCATTTTTTGGATGAAATTTTTCAGATACCTCGAAAATGAATGATAATTTTTATAGCAGTTGTATAATCACAGTTTTTGCCACATATGTGATGTTTAAACTGTGGTTATTGTGGTAAAACCTGTTTAATTCGTGGTTATTGGGGTTTAACTGAAATCCTGGTTTAATTTTCATAAGGGTTGTTAATGTATGCAGTGAAATTCATTCTTTATTGAAGTATCTTAAATGTTCAAATGTTTCTCTGACAATTCATGTTTATTTTTATGTTTATTTTATAGCGCTTTAATAATGTAGATTGTGTCAAAGCAGCTTAACAAAGAAGTTCTAGTAAATTGAAACTGTGTCAGTCCGGTTTTAGACAGACCAGACAACTGTATAGTTTTCTCCTGTACTCTCAAATACATTTTTTCCTTCTTTGACCTCAACAGAATGTGCTGAGATCCTTTCACAACATTAAAGATGTGGGCATGGTGCAGGTGAAGGTGATCCGTGCCGAGGGGCTGATGGCAGCTGATGTTACAGGTAAAAAAATCCTTCCTCAGACACATACAGTGATCCTGACATACGATTTCTCACTTCGTTTTTCCGCACTTACTGATAAAGACTATCATTTCCCTTGGAATGGTCAGCAGGAGGCTGATACTATTGCTTTGGATCCTTGTGCTAATGGATCGTTGGCTTCTCAGATCACTGTTTCTCTTAAATGCTTTTTTTTTTGCGTGTGTGCGTCTGCTCTGGTTTCCATTAATTCTTACTTTTAATTAGGTCTGCAGTGGACAGGCCTAGTTTCTGGCATTATGAATTATCAAGTTGAAAAAAAAAAGGATTGGAGATGGTGCGGTGGGTTGATTCTTATTCAGAGTCGGATTGAGACAAACACACTCACCTTGGGTCATTCATTAATACGGTAGTTAAAATGCATATAAAATTCTTTTTTTTTTGGGCTGTTCTTGCTGAAACTGTGACCTCATTGCATCTGAATCATCAGCTGTTTCTCAGCTGTTGTGGTATATCCATAAAAAATATACTGTATATGAGACTTGCAACTTTGGTTGAAATATGAATATGCCAGTGCATTCTAAAATGTGATAACCATTAGTTTTTTTCTTAAATACTTTTGATTTTCTTGGTATTAAAGTGATAGTTAACTCATATTAGATTTTTTTTTATCATCATTTACTCAACTTTCACTTGTTACAAACCTTTTTTTTTTTTTTTTTCCGTAACACATGATACAATATTTTAAAACATTTTGGAAACCTGTCACCATCTTCCAATAGTATTTGTTTTTCCTGTTTGGAAAACATATATAGTATTTGGAAGTCATGGGTTATAGGTTTCTGACATTTTTCTTCTTTTGGGTTTAATAGAAAAAAAAAAAAACATTAACTTATGAAACCGCTTGAGTAAATTCTTGAGTAAAATCTTGAGTAAATTAAACTGTTTTGGGGGGAACTAGCTTTTCGACTTAGATGTTATGTTAATAAATAATTTAGTTGGAGCACTTTGGCCGTTGTTTATTTGTGTTACGTTGTCTCAGGAGTCATGTTTAAGTAGAGACCATAACATCAGTCATAAAAAGAATCATAAAAAAAAGTTGAAAAAAATAGTTATTCTGTTAAATAAAAGCTTGATAAGAGATAAAAATATGATAAGTTGATTTGATTTGAAGTAATTGAACAATAAAAAAAAACAAAACGTAAACTCGACACATGATCCTAAGACAACGTAACATAAATATACAACAGCCAACATGCTCTAATCATTCATTCATTCATTCATTCATTCATTCATTCATTCATTCAGTTTTCTTGTCGGCTTAGTCCCTTTATTAATCTGGGGTCACCACTAAATCATTTATTATCATAATGTAATCAGCAAAACAATAAAAAATGACAATAGATGGGGAACCCAACAACATAATAAATAACAACCAAACAAACAAACAAACAAACCTAAAACTGGTTGGGACTCTCCACCCCAAACGAATGTCGAAAGGAAAGTATATAGGAGAACACAACAATAAAGCTGTCAGAAACTTTGGTGGCGTGAAGGAATGAGCGAGAGACAGAAGTGCACTTCTGTTCATTTTAAAAGCCTGACGTCACCAAATCAACCTATAGAAAACTGAAAAGGGTAAAATGACAAACGAGATCAATTGAAAATAGAGCCGGGTGACATGGCAAAAATGCAATCTCAATACTTATTTTCCATACTGAATGATAACGATACCGTATATATTTCAATACAAATATAATAAATATATAAAATATAAAGACAAGAAACTTGTCTTTAACAGAATTTGTAATTAGATTTATTAAACCCCCTAAATTGTTATCCCCCTGTTTATTTATTTCCGCAATTTCTGTTTGACAGAGAGATTTTTTCAACACATTTCTAAACAAAATATTTTTAATAACTCATTTCTACTAACTGATTTATTTTATCTTTGCCATGATGACATTAAATAGTATTTGACTAGATATTTTTCAAGACACTTCTATACAGCTTATAGTGACATTTAAAGGCTTAACGAGGTTAAGTAGGTTAACTAGGCAGGTTAGGGTAGTTAGGCAGGTTATTGTATAATGATGGTTTGTTCTGTAGACTATTAAGAAAAAAATAGCTCAAAGGGGCTTATCATTTTGACCTTAAAATGTTTTTGGAAAAATTATAAACTGCTTTTATTCTAGCCAAAAAAATCAAATAAAACTTTCTCCAGAAAAAAAAATATATATATATTATCAAACATTCTGTGGAAATGTCCTTGCTTGCTCTGTTAAACATCATTTGGGAAATATTAAATAAATAAATAAATAAATAAAAAATAAAAGAGGGGCTAATAATTCTGATTGCAACTGTACAACCATACAACAATCACACAATAGCAACACTCATCAAGACAACAACATCCTTTTAAAACTTTAAAACCAAATTAGCATCTTACATTTTATTGCAGATCATTCCTGACAACCATCCTGTTTACTTCAAACAGTAATCCAATTTAAGACAACAACTGCAAATGGGATAAATAACTTTTTGTAAGCATTTCTTTGGGCTTTAGGAATCTTAAAATGAACAAATTTTAATATTTTTTTTTCTAGGATTTTAAATAAAACTAATTATTCAAACATCCTCATTAAAGTATTTTAATTTTTTTATTTGTCCAAAAAGAAAGCCATTTCAATAAGAATTAAAGAAAGGATTATTCAAATATGGCAGAACATATTTTTAAACAAAATTTTTCTTTAAAGCTGTAATGTGTAATTTATGCAGTAAACAGAATTGCAAACATAATGTTTGTTTTTAAATATCACACCATTGTAGTCACCACCATGTTGTTCCAAACTCTATATTCCATCTGTTAACCTTAGCTATCCATATAGTCCATATCCATAAGTATGCATGAAAAAACCTAGTTAACTAGTTAACATTAATTTCAATTTTAAAGCATGACTGTTGATGCCATTATTGGGGTAATAAATGTTTATTAGAGCTCAGGTGACTCGAATTAACAATGAAAAAAATTTTATAAATACTGTGAGAAATACTATATACTCCTCGTTTTTACTCATTGTTAGTTAATGCACAAATTATATATTATGTAATGATCTTGTTGTAAATTGTTAGCATTTTTTGGACACAATTAGGTCTGAGAAGGGATGTTTACAGCTGCTTTGAACATTAGCCATGCTGTTCTGTTTTATTTTATAGTAAAGTGTAGCATGACTTAAGTATGACCAATTTTATTAAGCTACACTGTGTACCAGTCTTCTTCCAAACTCTTATATCTTATCAGCACGAAAATCACAACCCAAAGTTTGTTTTTGCCATCATTTTATACCTGCAAAATGTTTTGCTTGAAAGGTTTTGCGTATTTGTCCACTTATGTGGGAAATAAAGCTGAGAATTGCAGCACAAGAATATTAATCAAGGCTGCACAATCGCTTGCAGACAAGGTGTGAGGTGGCAGAAATAAACATAGCGATGAGAGACGGCATGGAGGTCATTAGCACCTTAAGTCACTCTTAAGGTGGAGCATCTCGCGAGGTTCTTCTCCGCTAAGCGCTTTGCGTTCGCTGTCTCTCTAATCGCCTAATCGACGCCTTTAATTAAGACGTGCTCAATGGCAGACCACCGCCACCCCTCCTCCCCTCTCACACCCCTCCGCCTCCCCCTTTCCCAGTTCTGCACTTTACCCGGTCCTCTCTCCGGGGGTCCGGCCCACGACGTTGACCTCGTAGCGCGGCGTGGCGTTCCCTGGGGAACCGCGGCCTCCTCATGAGCTCTGATTTCACACTCCTGTCCCGCCACAAAGCACCGGCGCACAAAGCTTTTCTAAGAGCCCACGGACTCACCGTCTCAATCGGCCCTGGCACCGAGGTGTCAGCCAACAAGGTTACGGGCCACGGAACAGTGCCTTCTCTAATAGAGAGCTCACTGGAGACAGCGAGAGTCCTGGAAAAGTGAGTGGACAACCAATGAAAAAAGAGGGAAATCTTAGGTCTCTTTCTTGCATCAGCATGTGTGTGTGTGTGTTGTTTTTTTCCTCCTCTCGTCCCACCCCTCCTTTCTGTCTGTTTTTCATTGTAATTAATTGAGGCTTTTATCTGGAGTGCCTCCACTCCAGGCCAGCAGGATAAATGGTGACAGTGTGTAAAACCAACAGTATTTAGGGACCCGAGCCTTCTGAATAGAGTCACTCAGTGCTGTAGATCGCTTAAGATGCAGACATCACTGGGTAGAATCAGTTTTCAGACAACAGCAGGAAGTGTTCTGTTCTGGCCGCCATCAGTGTATTTGTTTGCCATAATCCAATGCTCAGGTAGCTCTGCTCAACAGCGTTCCTGGATTTCATTTAAAACGCCTTCCAGACCTGAAAAATGTAATTACCGTTTCGTACGTCAGTGTGCGGCACACTCATCAAATTGCAGCAGGAATGAGGTTGAACTCATCTCGGCGGTCTGTGAGGATTTGGCCAGAATTAACCCGCAGAAAGCGTCTGCTCGGCCACACCTGGGGAGTCAAAGTTTCATTCAGAACCAAGCGTGTAATTTGCTCAGACAGCCGCCTCAACGACACGTAGCAGTTTGTCGTCGAGGATGACCGAGTGTCAGCGTGGGGAAATTGAATAGGGGTGGGACATCAGTATACATTCATTTAAAAAGATGCAAATTATTTTTTGAACGATTAAAATGTGCACAATTACTAGGAGAAGTCATGGTAAATTAAGCATATGAGGGAGTAAATTGTAAACGAGCGCTGGAGTTGATTGAAAAAAGGAGAAGGATTTACTTCTGTTTTATTCTTGATTCATAATTCTATCTACATAATGGATTTCTGAATGCAGTCATTTTTATACTATAGAATAAACTGCATATTGAACTGAAATATACTTCTAGGGTTGTGGCAACTCATTTTATAATTTCAAAAACACCATAGTCTAATTATCTTAATTTTAACTTAATCAAAAGCTTTTTTTTTTTTAAAGAAAATTCTGCAAATCAATAAAAAAAATAAAAAAAAATATTTATTCACATTTTAAATAAATGCTTTCTTATTGCATGTACTGTAGTTTCAAATGAAAATATTACTCCGGTAATTATTACTTTTATTACTATTACCATTAACTCCAGAACTAACTACTGCTATTCAACTGTACACAACAGACCTTCAATAAATCATTCAAGCCTCCCAGTCATTGACTTTTACTAAAATTGCTTTATTTACAATTCCCAGATATTAAGAATTGTTTAGATAAAAATCTAAAAAGTGAGACATTTATACCTATAAGCCTCAACGTGGGTCAAATTTACCCACTATAAAAAAAGCTTGTATTTATGCACTGCTTATGTTTGAAATTACTCACCAATGACTTTTACTTTCAATTTCACTCACTGAATTAGTGGTTATAATAAACGAATAAAGTCACAATGACTAAAAGAAGGCGATTCGTAGAGCTATTAAAACACAAAATGCAATGAATGATGGAGAGTCTGGAGAAATAATTTCTGCATCTGAGTAGGATGGCTCGAATTTAGATATTTTAACCTAAATGTTCAAACTTTATTGCTGTTCTTCTACTAAAATGATCTTGTTATCCTGAAATAATCATTTCATGAGTCGAGGCACTTTTTATTTACCGTGGCAAAAAACAGCCATACAGTACATTTGTTTTTTAGCAATTTCTAAACAAAATTTGTGCTGGGTAAAATTTACCCGCTTTACAATTTTACATTTCTAGTGTTAATAATAATAATAATAATAATAATAATAATAAGAAGAAGAAGAAGAAGAAGAAGAAGAAGGAATTCTAATATTGAAGGAGTGATTTCTGAAGGATCATGTGACTAAAGACTGGAGTAATGAAGCTGAAAATTCATCTTTAAAATCACTGGAATAAATTAAATTATAAACTCCTTTTGAGCAGGTCTTTTATAGTGCAATAAAATTTCAAAATTTTACTATTTGAACTGTATTTTTGATTAAATAAATGCAGCCTTGGTGAGTAGGAAGAGCTTATTTAAAAACATTTGGTAGTGTATGTACTGTACAGTACAAAAAACAGAATCAAACATACACTCTCAGAAATAAAGTAAAGTACGTGCGCTGTCACTGTGGTGGTACTTTTTCAAAAGGTACAGGTTTGTACTTAAAGGATCCATATTTGTACCTGAAAATTATATATAGGTACCTAAGAAGTTTAAGGTATTAATATGGACCTTTTAGGTACAAATTTGTACCCTTTGAAAAGGTACCACCTCAGTGACAGCTCACGTACCTTTTATTTCTGATAGTGTATATTTTGACCATGAATTGAATTTATATGCTTGGAGACATTTTATTGGTCTCTCTGACATTTATTTTGCTTGTCAGCAAAAAAAAATCAAAAAAAAAAAAAATCTCTGTTTTCTTTCTTTCATTTATTCGCATACAGGAAGTTGAAAGATTTCACACTTTAGTTTTACTTACAGCACATTACAAAGTCATTTTAAAATATATAAATAACCCATTAAGCATGCTTTTTTGCACCAGCTTTCAAAACAAACAACAAAAGTGCTCCCAAATGCTTTATTTTGGAGATTTGTTCAAAAAAGTTTAGATCAAAGCTGATTAAGGAAGTCTGGCTTAAGAACAATATGTTTTTAAATTATGAATATGTGTGTTTACATGTGTATATTCATAGTTAATTTCAAAGCATGTAGGACAGAGGGTTTTATAAACATGCCTCTAGAGTAGACCTTTTATATTAATGCATGTTTAATGCAATCATGCATTTGAAAAATATTCTATTGAACTTTAATATTTTATATTGATATAAAATCACTTTATACTTTTCATTTATTTATGAGAAAAGCATAATGCTCTGTCAGCAGCTGGAAACTCTCATATACAGCTGACATCAGAATTATTAGCCCCCCTGTTTTTTTCCCCCAATTTCAACACAAATTAAAACATAATAGTTTTAATAACTCATGTCTAATAGCTGATTTCTTTTATCGTTCCCATGATTACAGTACATAATATTTGACTAGATATTGAAGACACTAGTAATCAGCTTAAAGGTCAATTTAAAGTCTACTACTTTAAATTAACTTGGTTAATTAGGTTAACTACGCTGGTTAGGGTAAGATAGGCTCATTGTATAACACTAGTTTTTTTTTTTTTTTTTCGTAGACAATCAAAAAACAAGATAGCTTAAGTGGGCTAATAAGATATTGACCTTAAAATGGCTTTTTTTTAAATTAGTTTTTAAATAATTAAAAACTACTTTTATTCCTACCGAAATAAAACAAATAAGACTTCCTCCAGAAGAAAGAATATTATCAGACATACTGTGATTTTATTTTTGCTCTGTTAAACATCATTTGGCAAATATATATAAGAAAGAAAAATAATTAAAGGGGGGCAAATAATTATGACTACACACACACACACACACACACACACACACACACACACACACACACACACACACACACACACACACACACACACACACACACACACATATATATATATATATATATATATATATATATATATATATATATATATATATATATATATATATATATATATATATATATATATATATATATATATATAATTTTTTTTTTCCTTTGAAAGTTTTCTACAAATTTCTTCCATCTACGAACAGAAATGTGTGTGTGTTCACACCAGACTGAGATAAAGACATCCTAACACTGCTTTAGGGCAGCATAAAGGATGAACTGCTTATCTACCTGTGTGCAAACCACCGTATCGCTATAACAACACGAAATGACACCACAGTGGGGCAAAATGAATATATATATATATAAAGCTTTAGCCTAGGTAAAGACAGCAGCAGTGTAGTTTGATCCAGCCCTTCAGGCTCGCAGTCCTGTCACGTTTATCAGGTAGTTATTTCAGCTAGTGGATTACACTGCAGTAAATACAATGAAACTGATAAACTTAATGTGTGTGTGTGTGTCCCTCACAGGCAAGAGTGACCCTTTCTGTGTCGTGGAGCTCAGCAACGATCGCTTACAGACACACACCGTGTACAAAAACCTCAACCCGGAGTGGAACAAAGTCTTCACGTTGTAAGTGTCAAGAGCGCAGTTATTCATGTGTTGGAGAGTGCCTGCATTTGCATAAAATCACATATTTATAGTCTGTTGATTTATGAACTATTATAGACTAACAAGTATGCTTACATCATTGCCAGAAGTATAAGCACTGTGTATATTCATGAGCAATTGTGAACATTTGGAAGCTTTATGCACACATAATAGGAAAATTGAAACTAAATGATTTTATTTTATTTTATTTTTTTTTGATAATTTATCTTGCATTTACAATTCATCACCTTAGAATTATAAGGTTCTATCTGACATTTTTGTCAAAATTGAGTTATTGACAACTTACATTATGGGATGTTTTTTGATAAGTTCGGAATGCAGATAGAACCTTATAAATCCAAGGTGACGAATTGTAAACCAAATGTACACTGTAAAAAATGCCGGGTTCCACACAATTTATGTTGTCTCAACACAAATCAATTAAGTTAACTTAATATTTTCTTTTGACCAATTTAGGTGGATTGAATGTAAAACTATTTAATTATCCCCCAAAACACTTTAGAATTGTTTTGATTCAACTCATATTAAAAAAGTAGTTTGAACAAGCAGCAAAAGTCATATTTTGAGTGTACAAGGGAGATACTTTTGAGATTGATGAATATATTTATAAATAGTTGTGAGCATTTGCAAGGTTTATGTACACAGAATATGGAAAAAATACAATAAGGTGTGCTTTTTTTGTTAGTTTTTTTTTTTTTAAGTTTTATATTTTAAACCAAACGCACAACAGAGAAACATTAGAGATTTATTTATTTTTATTTTAAAGTGCACCACAATGTTGATAGGACTATAAATACTTAGTAAATTTATGAATAATTAAGTATTTGCAACCTTTATATACATAGAATAAAAAAATGAAAAAAAGTTTATTAGATTTTTTTTTTGCTTGAAAGTTTAATATCGCATTTACAATTGTAAACTAAATGTTCTTGGGTAAAACTTTGGTATTTATTTTATTTCATTTTATGTTAAAGTTTTATTTTGCACCACAATGTTGATAGAAGTACAAATACTTAGTATGTTTATGAATAATTTTGTATATTGAATATTTGCATAGTGAATATTGAATATTTGCATAGTGAATATTTATTTTAAAACCAAATGTACATCGGGGGTTGGGGGGGGGGGGGGTGTATAAAATTCTTTTATGTTCAATCCAGTTAACTTAAGCAATTTTTGTTGGGACAACAGAAAGGAATTGTGTGGAACTCAGCGTTTTTTTTTTTACAGTGTACATTATTCTATTTTGGGACAAATTAATTGTTTTATGCTCAATCCACTTAAATTTGTACAAATGATAAACTTAATTTTTGTTGGGACAACTTGAAGGAATTGCGTAGAACCCAGCCTTTTTATAGTGTATGATAATTGCATCACAAGATAAGTATTATTTATCAAATATTATTTAATTTGATATTATTTTATTTTATTTTATTTTATTTTATTTTATTTTATTTTATTTTTACCCAGTGCGTATTGAAATGATTTATTTATTAATACTGTATTTATAGAGACACATCCAAGAGCTGGGGGATTACAGAATAATGTCGTCAAGATCATTTAATTAAGCTTTGTATTGATAATGTGACACATAAGTAAACTTTCGCTTTCAAAAGAAAATGAAGTTCTGCTGGAGATTACACTCCCTCTGCAAGTACAGCCATTGTGTCGTTTGATAATGTGCCATACATAATTTCTTATATTAGTTCGATATCTAGAGGTTGTTCCATTGATGTTTTTTTTCCGCAATCTTTCAATCTTCACGGCTGGAAATTCATTTGTGAATTCCCATGGAAAGCTGGGTAATCTAGCCTCTCCTTGGAGCGCTCATCTCTTAAAGAATAACCTCATTTTCTTTCATTAGACTTCTCCTCTTTAGCCTACTTTTCAAAGATAGCATTTCAAATGGAGAATTGCAGCATCTTTTTTTAACCCCAGCACAATGGAGATTGTCACCAAGGATTTAGATGAATCACATTTTTTTGTCATGACTTGAAAGATCTTTTCAGTGTTTAATATTAGTCAATGATTTCTTCACCTACCACTTCTTTTCTTCTTTTTCTTCAACTAGCAATGTGAAAGACATTCACTCAGTCTTAGAGGTGACTGTCTATGATGAGGACAGAGACCGAAGTGCCGACTTCTTGGGCAAAGTGGCTATACCGTTGTTAAATGTAAGTCTTCTGCTTGCAGAATGATTATTACAGTAATGGATCTAGTTAAGATTGAGGAAATGCAGAAAAATGTGTCTTACTTGTCTATTATTAATGACTTTTTTTCTGGAATAAACTTGTATTTACTTCGAAAGAAAGAAAGAAAGAAAGAAAGAAAGAAAGAAAGAAAGAAAGAAAGAAAGAAAGGAAGGAAGGAAGGAAGAAAGGAAGGAAGGAAGAAAGAAAAGAAAGAAAGAAAAAAGAAAGAAGGAAAGAAGGCAAGAAAGAAAGACAGATAGAAAGAAAGAAAGAAAGAAAGAAAGAAAGAAAGAAAGAAAGAAAGAAAGAAAGAAAGAAAGAAAGAAAGAAAGAAAGAAAGAAAGAAAGAGAAAAAAAATCCTAAATCAACACATTTTATTAAGTGGGTATAAAATAAAAATAAAAACTTTGAAAACTAATTTTTCTTTTACGATGTAATGGAATGCTAATTTGTATACTAGCATGGCATCTTTTTGGCAACTTTTATTGTCTTTTTTTATTTATTAATTGTAGACAAATGTATATGTATGTATTACATATATATTTTTATACTAATGGGATAAATAGGTAAAGAGAAAGAAAATAAATCTAATTGAAATAAAATGAAAAAATTAACAAAAACAAATAAATAAGTAAAAAAAATAAATTAAATAAACAAACAAACAAACAAACAAACAAACAAACAAACAAACAAACAAACTAATAAATAAATAAATAATTAAATAAATAAATAAATGATAGACAATGGCAAAATGTAATTTTAATATTTATGGCATAAAATGTAAATGTTTTTCAATCAATCAATCAATCAATCAATCAATCAATCAATCAATCAATCAATCAATCAGTCAGTCAGTCAGTCAGTCAGTCAGTCAGTCAGTCAGTCCATCAGTCAGTCAGTCAGTCAGTCAGTTAATCAATCAATTATTCAATTAATCAATCAACCAACCAATCACTCTATCAACATTTTACCCAATTAATTTTAAACAAACGCATATTAAATTAATAATTTTTAAGTAGAAAAATACATATTATTTTATCTTCTTGTGTCTAGTATGTTTTGCTTCCTCAAGGATGTAAAAGTGAATAAAACTCTCATAAAATAATGAATAATAAATAAATAAATAAATAAATAAATAAATAAATAAATAAATAAATAAATAAATAAATAAATAAAACCAAAATTTGCCTCAAGCTTTATACAAAACGTCATACCTCTAGCTTTTACTGATTTTAGCAATCAGTAAGAGTATAATAAAAAAAAACTCTAAATCATTGATTTTGGTGCTCATGTGAAAAAAAAAATGTGTAAAAGTAAGAAAAACACACAAAAAGTTTACAAAAAATAGATATCATGCGTCTAACCTTTATTGATTTTAGTAATCACAGAGTTGAAGTTGTGAGAAAAACAGAGATACAAAAAAATAAAAAAAATACAAGAAATGTAACAAAAGCAAGAAGAAAAGGAAAAACTAAGGGGGGACGCTGCGTGCGCTCGCCGGCTGATTCCCCAGGATGGTTAATTTGCGGCTGACAGTGGTCGGGCCGTAATGAACAGGTACTTGTCAGAGCCGCCACAGTTGTTTTGGGCTCTCTGTCAGATGCAGCAGCTGGGGTTCAGAGGTCACCCCGAGAGTGTATTCAGCTGGGTATTGCCAGACAGACGGCTGTCATGTCCCTCTCCCACAGATCCAAAATGGAGAACGCAAAGCTTACGCCTTGAAAAGCAAGGAACTGACAGGGCCAACCAAAGGGGTCATCTTTCTCGAAATAGACGTGATTTATAACGTCGTAAGTCCCACTCTCTCTTCTTCTGTTTGCGTTTTTTTCTTCTTCTTTCTCTGCTTGTCTGTCCCCGTCCCCTCGTTCTCTCTTTTAATTACTGAAGACTCTCCCCTTTTCCTCAGCCTTTTATTTGTACGTCTCTCTGTGTGTGTGTGTGTCCGCCATTTTAGGCGGGAGTGTGAGAGAGCGTCACATGGCCGTTTGGTGTGGAGTGTGTGTGAAATGGAGGGATGTCAAGATGCATGATTAGATCGTTAATGCATTATTAATTCCCATTCAGGTAAAAGCTGGCATGAGAACGCTGATCCCCATCGAGCAGAAATACATCGAAGAGGAGCCGCGAGTATCTAAACAGGTAACAAGACGGCTTTAATCGCACCTTTGTTAACACAATCCAGCCCAACGCAAGTGGCATCATTCTCCTCTCTTCTTTCTCTTCTGGAGGTGCTGAATAGACACGTCAAGCTGTCAACGCTGGGGGCGCATAAGTAGATTGGCCATCCTTTAGTTTGGACCTCAGTGGTTCTTCTGCTGGGCTTCTTTTTGTTGTCGCCCTGTTCAATGTCTCGCCCCCCCCCAATTCTCTGACAAAGAGCTGAATTGTAGGGGTTGTCCCAAATCAGACCTGTCACTGAGACACAAACACACACACAAACTCTCTGCAATGAAGATCTGTCATGCAATGAAGCAGTGTTGAATGCATGCTAGAAAGTGCGCACTCTGCACTTTTTGGTGTGAATTTGCCCCCCCCCCCCCCACCAACACTGCTTGTGAGTAAGATGTTAATGGTGAGGGCAACGTATCAAAATCTATCGCCTCAGGATTTGCGGTACGACTAATTTTACAGTGCAGTTTCACACGTATGTACTTATCTCATTGTAAAATTTGGGGAATAAGTAGGTACTTTCTATACCTACACTTTAACCTAATCTGTAACTGACAGTCCTCTCACTATTTACTCACCCCTCACTTGTCGCAAAACTATTTAAGTTTCTTTTTATCTGTCGAACACAAAAGGAGTTATTTAAAGGAAAGCTGAAACCATTGACTTTCTGAGCATTTGTTTTTGCCTGCTTTGGATGTCAGTGGTTACAGGTTTTCAGACCTGTGTTGTTCCTGTTGTTCATGTAGTTCCAAAACTTAATGAGTTAATACCTGTAACCATAGTATTTGCTTTTTGTATTACTATGGAAGTCATTGGTTCTAGGTTTCCAGCTTTATTCAAAATATCTTCTTTTTTGCTCAGAAGAAGAAATACATTTATAAAGGTTTGAAACAATTTGAGTGTGAGTAAATAATTTTTTGTGTGAGCTATCCCTTTAAGATTGGGTTCAAGGGTGGACTCAGGGATAGATGCTAGTTCAGACACTGCAGGTTAATAGAATAAAAAAATAAGCTTTCCATACTGTAGCAACAGTAGACCTTTTTACCGTTATTCACCTCATTTTCCATCTAATTATGACACCATATAGGCTTATTCTGAAGACGTAGTCCTATATACATTTCTAGAGATCAAGAATTATATAGCCAGAGCTACGCGTGGCTGGTTCTTTCAAACAATCAATCCAGCTGATCGCTTAGCTCTATGTGGACAGCTTTGCCGTTGTTTCTGTTTTTACGGGGTTCGGGTCTGGGGAAGAACGATTCCAGAAAGTAGATAAGACAAAAACAGAAGCTAAAAATAAAATAAAATAAACAAGTCAATAACAGGGTTAGACTGGGGTAAAATCTAAAAACTTTGGTAAAAACGAGGGCTTTTCTTTTTCTGGGTTGCTTTTTGAAACACGGCGATTGGCTTAAGGGAAGTGGGTGGGCGGGTAATTAGGTGCTGTTCAAAATACTGTTGTTTGGGTTAAGGGAAGGGGGAGGGTGGGAGGATTGGTCTGTTGGTCGGTCAGTCAGTCAGTTGACAGCAGCTTCTGGTAGATTTACGTGAGAACAGCAGGCGCGAGTGCCACTCACAAGAAAATTTGCGATTTGAGCGTTTACAACAGCCTCTGGTGGATTCGCAAACAGCAAATAAACGGTAGCTCCTGGGACATTTTTTGCTCTCTCCAATAATGTATATGGGGGTACGTAATCAGAATGAGCCTGGGTTGATTTATGAGGTTTAAATACTGCATTTTAGTGACATTTTAAGCACTATTTTTTTGCTGGATTAGCTTGTCGGATGGTCATCATAACCACACTTTTTGATGTTCAATTTCCTAAAAGTTTAAAATAGAGAAATATGAACATACTTTAGAATAGACATTCTAAATGGTATATAAATGACATAATATGCCATTAGAAAAATTTTAATTTAAAAAATTTAAACTTTAGCCTCTGTCGTTTCTTAGACTAATAACAAAAAACACGTTCAAATATCCCCAGTCAGAATTTGGGATGCTGAATTTGGCACTTCAGAATAAGAAGTCACACAAACAGAACAGCCGACACAGCATTACGCTTGGTCTTAAAGCCTTTTTCGATGGGTTATTTTCATAGGTATTTTATCACAATTTATTATAGCCCAGCAGTTAAAATAGGACAAATGAGCTTATGTAAGGGACAAATTCTGGACTTTTGCCAGTGAGGGATGGGACAACCCGAACCCTCCCTGGCTACGGGCCTGAACTGAGTGATGACATTAGGGATTTTTCAAAACTATTTTTGACATATCAATCAAATGTCTTTATAGGGGATTTTTTTGTATCTCTTTTTTCCATCAGTCCAAATACTGCAAAACAGCCAGAAAAAAAAGAAAACAAAAGAAAACGAAAGAAAAAACTAAAGTAAACTAAAGAAAATGAAGGAAAACAAACGAAAACAAAATTTAAAAAAAACAACAAAGGAAAATGAAATGAAAGAAAACGAAATAAAAGAAAACATTTTGTTGAATTGAATAGTTGTCAAGCAGGGTGACATGCAGTAAATAGCAATGTTGCCTCACAGCAAGAAGATTGCTGGTTCGAGCCCTGGCTGGGTCAGTTGACATTTCTGTGTGGAGTTTATATGTTCTCCCCGTTTTTGCGTGGATTTTCTCTGTGTGTTCCGTTTTCCCCCACAAGTCCGAAAACATGCACTATAGGTAAATTGGGTTAGCTAAATTGTCCGTAGTGCATGTGTATGTCCTGGTCCTCCAGATTCAGGGTTTAGCTTTGGGCTAACCACCCACCTCGTAAAAATGAGATGTTACGAAACAGTAACATTATGCAGCTTAATATCAACTTCGATATAAACGGCACTGCACTGTAAAAAGTAGTTTCTTAAGTTTACTTAATTGAATTTTGCAAACTCATTGCCTTAAATGAATTAGATACTCTAACTTTATCGTATTAGTACTATTCACTTAGTAATTGACAAGTAATTGACACTTACTTAGGTCAATTAAGTCATGTCAACTTTATATCAAGTATTGGTTACTAATGTAGTAAACGTAATTCTTGTTTTCTCAGATGGCATTCTAAAATTATCAATATTCAAAAAGTATATAAATTACCACAATCGAGTAAAAAAATTATTCTTCTAAGGTGAGCAATAACCTGAAATCCACACAAGGAAAGTGGCAACTTTATAAAATGACATGACACTCAAAACACATGCTTTTTTTCATAAACCATTATAAAATACATGCATAAAACACATAAAATCTTACCTGTGTTCACAAATTGGAAAATATTCGCTTATTTTCTCTGTTTGCATTGTGAAATTGCCAGTTTGAATTGGCCACGCGAGTGAATGCACCTTCCGCCTGTGCATGTGCAGATCTTACTCCACCTGCTTACGTACTTGATGAACTTCAGTACAGCTTACTAAAGTTCTTTAGTTTATCTACTAGATCCATGTTAAATTTCACCTAACACAGTCAAATCAATTAAAGTCATCAAATTTGCCAAAATTTGTAAAGTTTTTAAGCTTTTTTCGAGTAGATTAAATGATTACTTTTTACAGTGTAAGTGTATAATCAGGCATGCTGTAAAATGAACAAATCCCTCTGTATAAACTTTCAGAAGGTCATTGAAATCTACACATCTATCAAATCTCTTGACACAAATGTATACATTTAAAAAAAAGAAATGTTTTTAAGACTGAAAAAACCATGATATCTCGCTTAATCCATGTAGTTATCTTATATATATCAGTACTTTTTACTTTTTAAGGTAAGTGCACTGTAAGTACACATTAGGTAAACATACTGTAAACTAAATTGCCAGCAGATTTTCTTTTACTTCTTGACATGGTCCACCTTCGCAACAGCTCATTTTGTCAGATGTGTTTTATTCAGTTTGGTTTCGTACTTCACCTCCCGTTTTCTCTGATTAATCCCAAATGACAAACTAAAATGGGCTGCTTTAAAGGCCTGGCCCGTATCTTACACTTCACCACAGTAAATGTGGATATTTACTCTGATCAAAGGCGAAGCGTTTTAAAGCCATTATTCGACCAGGAGTGTTTGATCTTCCTGTGAACGCAGGAAACAGCAGTCATTTGCAGTTCACCCGCACTCAGAATCACGAATAAGGCTATTTTGTTAAAGAGGCATGACGAAATAAATCCTTTACTCCTTCATGCTCCTGTAAATAAGGAAATGAATATGGTTTGTCTTGCTCTTGTTCTCCTTTTGCTAACTTATTTGCGCGTAAAAAGCTATTTATTTGGTGTTCTTTCATAGGAAGCTCAAAGACAAATTTTTCTATTATTCAGAAATGTTAAAAGACCTACACCTCTACAGTTTGCTTATAAAGTTGAATTTAAAAACAGTTTATTTATGTAAAATGTATATTATATAAACCAAAGTCTATAGAGTCAGTTTGTGAATAAAATCTGTGGTCATATTTTTCATTTATTTGATCAAACCAAGGCTTCATTTATTTAATCAAATACAGTAAAAATATTACTAGTATATTACTATTAATGGACTTCTGTATATCAATATATATATTTAAAATGTTATGTTATTTCTGTTTTGGAAAGCTCAATGTTTAGCATCATTACTCATAATGATAGTGATTTTCTAGAAATGATTCTAATATTTTGATTTGTCATTTAAGTAATATAATAATATATTATTTAATTTTTATTATTTAATTCAGGATTTGTTTTTTTTTTATAAATACAGCATTCATATGAAAAGCATTTATTTAAAATAAACATATTTGTAACATTAACAAACCTAACCCACAACAATACAAATACAAAAATAAATAAATAAAAGTAATAATTATAATAATAATCATAATAATAAGAATTATTATTATTATTATTATTATTATTATTATTTATTATTATTATTGTTGTTATTATTATTTAATTATGTTGTTGTTATAAAGACCTTTTTATTATTATAAACAAACTTTTTAATGACAATATAATACAAATAAATAATAATACATTTTTAAAAAAAATTATATCTGTCTTTTTTAAACTTGTATTGAGTGAGTGACTGTGATTGTAAATGCCGTCTGTGGTTTTGTCACTCAGCTGCTGCTGCAGAACTTCAACAGAGTGAGGCGCTGTATCATGTTCCTGATCAATGCTGGCTGCTACATCAACAGCTGCTTTGAGTGGGAGTCTCCTCAGAGGAGCATCTGTGCCTTTCTGGTAAGGACCAGTCTGCATTCACAACACCAACACTCACATACAGTACTGTACAGTGGCTCCACAATGTGTTTGGACAGGGTCACGGTTGCCTTTCATTGCTGCAGATTTGATTACAAAAGCAAGATTTTAAATGTATAAATGTGTAATGTCGAACTTGAACACAGGATAGAACCAAATTTTAAATTACAGTAGGTGGACTTAATTACTATATACTAGGCTTGGGTGGTATCCAAATTTTGATACTGTCAAACCTCTTTCCTATTTACCTCGATATATGGCATTATCAAACATTCTTAAAAAAAGAAATATGACATAAGGCTCAGACAGTGTCACCAAACTGTTGGCTTGTGCATAAACCATTCAGAAACTGAATACTGTATATGGGACCTTAGATTTGAGGTATTTCCATCTCTCGCGGTCACCCTTTTGTTACACAATTTGTAAATTGCCTCATGAGTGTTTACCACCTCTCCCTTCTTGTTGGGTCGAAACTCGAAATACTGCCAAACTGCAAAAGTTGTGTTCCTTTTTGAGACCAGGTCACTTGGTGAATGACTCGCCATCTTTCCTCACCTCTCTTTGTCTCCTCTACGCTGTCCTGTTATGACAATCATGCTTACACATAATTTTTAGGCCATTTAAACTATATTTAATATTTAAACCTTGTCTCCTAAAGAAGTGCATTGTTTTTTATGACATTATAATGGTACTGAAACTCATACCTTTGCATACCGCTGTATACCCTATTACCTTATTACCACTTAAGTCTACTATGTGCTTACATTTAAATTGATTTAATCCCATTTTTTTTTATTTTATGCTTATGCTTAAAATAAATATCTTCTTGTAATTACACTGTTGGCCCATCCCCTACACTTTTAACCTACCTATGCCACTAAACCTGTCCCAAACCTAAATTCTACCTAAATAGCACTGTAAGTGTTGTACAATACAATATACAGTTAACAAAATTTGTGCATTGTTCTTATTTTTTGATGTAAATACCTAGTAACGGCCACTTAAATATTCACATTCACATTAAAAGGGAAGAATACTGACTATTTTCTCACCCTCAAATGGTTCCAAACTTTATGTATATTTGTATTATGTATATTTGTAACTTTTTGTATACTTGATTTTTTTTACTATAAAGGTCAGGGGTTACAGGTTTCTTCAGTATATCTCAGAAGACAAGTTTGGAACAAGTAAAGGATGAGTAAATGACGAGATAATTTTCAGTTTTGGCTGAACTATTTCTTTGATATAAAGTAGGAACTGAAAATCAATTGTAATGATGAATAGTAATTAAAATCTAGTATCAGAGTTAGGGTCACTTTTCTGAAACAGTTTGCAACCTAATATGTCCTCACCTCATGTACATTTACCAACCCAAGCTCATTCTGAAAACGTAGTCTTGCGGACGTTTCTGGAGACCGTGAAACACGTATTTATGCATTTTTTGTTATCAGTATCACATATCTGTGAAAAGCACCAGCGCGTAACCAGCAAATCACAGCCATTTCTGTTAAGCATGTAACCATTCAAAGGGGTGTAAGAAAGAACTTGCTAGACAAGGCTCAGAAAGCGAGCAGGATATTATATAAATATTATATAAATGCTTGTGTTGTTTAAAGGTAGTTTATCTGACTGTTTTTATTAAAGGAAAAAAATTGTATTACAAATATTTAATCAATATAAATATATTTTTTCATTTAATACAAGAATTGCTGTGCTCTGAAGAAAATATAAAACTGTGAATGGAAAGCATCGTCAATGCACAGTGATGCACCGAGATATTGAATTGAACCGAATTAATGGCATGATAATGGTAACCAAATCGAAACATAAGACCAGTGTTCACACCTCTATCCTGTAGTCTGTGTGAGTCTTAATGCCCCAGTATAGTGAAGGGGACACTATACTGTCATTGAGCGATGTCTTTTAGATCTGACATTCAATCGATGTCCAGTCTCTGTGGTCATTAAAATTCCCATGGTTAATGTTAGTTAATGTTTTTACTAACACAAACAAACAATGAACAATGATTGTACAGCATTTATTATTAATAGTTAATCAACATGTACTAATACGTTATTAAAAACCAAATGCTGCTTGTTGACATTAGTTGTGAGTTAACATGAATTAACAATCAACTACTTTATTGGCATTAACTAATTGTCACACCCAGTCTTCCTCGTGTGTTTTGTTTTTATCATGTGACCTTCCCCATGTCCTCCTTTGTTCCCGTTCCCGCCATTTGTTAATGTTCATCTGTGTCACCTGTGTTCATCCACTGTACGTAATCACTGTCATCATCCCGTGTATATAAGTCTCTGTGTTTAGTCATTCGTTGTTCGGTATTCTCTCTGTTGATGTCTAGTTTGGTGCTTGTCTTCACCCTATGTCCTTCCAGTGTTCTTCCTTGAGAGTAAATATAATAAATCAATGTATTTGAGGATCTTGCGAGCCTGTGCCTTCCTCAATTGAACTTGGGGCGTGACACTAATGTTAACAATCATGAATAAATACTGTAATAACTGTACAGTATTGTTCATTGTTTGTTCATGCTAGTATGTGTCCCGTGTAGTGTTACTAAATGTTTTACTTCATCTTGATTTAAAATTGTCTAATGCAGATTCTTAAGTGCCTGAATACTTGCGGTCAACTTCACATATTAGTGGACTTGATAAATAAAAAAAAGTGTGACAGGTTTCGTGGTGATCCATTGGTTCCTGTATACGCACATTTTCCATCTCTCCTTCTGTTGTGTTAAAAATGTGCAGAATTTTGCCCATTTGTCTTTGACATTCTCCAGCACTCCTCTCAGATCTGTGGCACCTCGGGTGAAGTCGTCTGAATTCACGACAGGCTCTTTCATAGCGCTGTGCACCTTCTGATTGTAATTGGACAGTTGAACCTTCATGAAAAGGACACCCTTTTTGAGTGGGCCGTGTGACTAAATGCTAGCACAGGACATGCTGGCTAATCTGCGCCTGTGATGCTGCATAATTTGCTGTAAGGCCTGTCCGTTTCGGGACTCGTGTGTCTTTAAGTGTCGCTGGGTATGCCATTAACATTTGCTGCTTGACACATTTTAATTTCGGTATACTTCGGAAAGCAAAAGTCCAGGGCACGCGCGTGAGCCGAGGGACAGCTGTATCGATCAGCTAACATTTTAGTTGAACATTTTTTTTTCTCTTTTCCTTCCATGATTGTCGAGGGAACAAACATCAATGAAAATGTCAGAGGAGGAAATGTCAAGAGATTTGAGGAGAATAAAACAAAAACAATTACATTGCATTTGTACATTTGTTCCTAATGTTAAAATGTTGTTAAATATGTTTAAATTATTAGCCCCCTGTTTTTATTCTCCCCTCCCCCCCAATTTCAGTTTAACAGAGAGATTTTTCTAAACATGATATTTTCTTAACTTATCTCTAATAACTGATTTCTTTGATCTTTGCCATGATGACCGTATGCAATATTTGACTAGATATTTCTCAAGGCACTTCTATACAGCTTAAAGTCACATTTAAAGGTTTAACTAGGTTAATTAGGTTAACTAGGTAGGAAGGTTAATTAGGAAAATCATTGTATAAGGAAGGTTTGTTCTGTAGACTATCGAAAAAAAAAAAAGCTTCAGGGGGCTAATAATATTTTCAAAAATTAAGAATGCTTTTATTCAAGCCGAAAAATAAACCTGATAAGACTTTCTCCAGAAGAATAAAATATTATCAGACATAATGTGAAAATGTACTTGCTCTTTTAAACTCTTTTGAGAAATATTTAAAAAAGAAAAAAAATCAAAGGGGGCTAATAATTCTGTAATAATAATAATCTTCAACTGTAATATATGAATTTGTGAATTAATTTGTTTTAAAAAATAAATTAAAAACAAAATAAATGCAATGTTTATTATTAATCTTACTAATAATTAGTTTTATTAAGCAGTTTTTAAAAAAAAAAAAAATAGTTTGGTCACATTTTTCTACGAATAAAAAAGATAATACTTTTAAATCTAAAATTCTAATGAGGTGTTGCAAAAAATAAGTTATGCAATTAAAAAATTAAATTGTGTCAGTTGTGTTTTGCAACTAAATTTAATATTTTATGGTTCACTTGATTCCACTTTATTAATATATTAGCTTATTTTTATTTTTATTATTTTTACCTAATATTTTTTAATATAATATATATTTTTGTATGACATTCATTTGTCAGGCAAATACCAATTTTAAGGTTAGTTACAGTTTTAGTTTTGGTCTAATGCAATGTATAAACAAACAGCTTATTTTATTTTATAACATCCTCTAGAAAGTATTCATTTAAAATAGACATCTTTAAGAGCTGTACTTATTTATGCTGGGCATACACTCATTATATATACACACATTTGTGCCACTTTATTAGGCACACCTGTCCAACTGCTCGTTAACGCTAATTTCTAATCAGCCAATCACATGGCAGCAACTCAATGCATTTAGGCATGTAGATATGGTCAAGACGATCTGCTGCAGTTCAAACTGAGCATCAGAATGGAGAAGAAAGGTGATTTAAGTGACTTTAAATGTAGCATGGTTGCTGATGCCAGTATTTCAGAAACTGTTGATCAACTGGTATTTTCACACACAACCATCTCTGGGGTTTACAGATAATGGGTTCGAAAAAGAGAAAATATCCAGTGAGCGGCAGTTCTGTTTGTGCAAATGCCTTGTTGATACCAGAGGTCAGAGGAGAATGGCCAGACTGGTTTCAGCTGATAAAAAACAAACAGTAACTCAAATAACCACTCGTTACAACCGAGGTATGCAGATGATGCATCTAATTTCGAAAAATGCAAAAGGGAATCCAACCCGGTACTAGTAAGGTGTACCTAATAAAGTGGCCAGTGAGTGTACAGTATATACACTATACTGTATATGTCTAACCTAAACTTTCAAAATTGCTTTAATAGATAAAGAAAGAAAAATAAATAAATAAATAAATAAATAAATAAAGAA